TATCAAGATTTTTGAATACAACTTTAATATTAAAAGTCTTAAGAAGAGAAGGCATATTAACCAAGTTTTCATGGTAAGGGAGAACCAACATATTTTAGTTGAATAAGGCAGGAAAACCTGCCGTACTATGTATATATATATATAAATATATATATATATATATATATAAATATATATATATATTATATATATATATATAATTTTAAAAATTTTAATATATATATATATATATAATAAAATATATATATATATAAATATATATATATAAATATATATAATAATATATATATTATATATATATATATATTTCTTAAAAATATAGGGAAGTACCACTTCTATAGCTGGACTGGGGATCTTCATCCTCAAAAGACAATAAATGTACCTCAGGGAAAACTCAAGGTTCTCCACGGGGTTTTTGAATATTTTTTTCTACTACCACCCCCTCTATTTTATATTCTAAGGAACATTTATTAATAAACAGAATCAATTCAATTCAATTCAATTTTAAATTTGTTCTCTATAAGGGTTACAATGTGGGGTTTACAGGTTTTGGGTATTGTGTGGTTTACATGTTATAAGATACTAATTACAGAGGGGCCACTAGACACCTAGCATGGCTAGGCATTTCGAACAGACTTAGATTAATTCAAAACATTAAATCCTTACAGATTATGGGATTAAAAACTAAGTGACTACATCATAATTTGTGAGTTTTTGCAAAAGTGAATGCTTTTGTTTTGGCACAAAACGAAGTGTCTATATTGGGGTATCATAGCAAAAATTAAAGAAATAGTTAGGCTTTATTATTTTAAGATTAGGATTAGTATTTCTGGGTTTATAGTCAGTGGGTGAGTGAGTGTAATTTTGAAACCACCAGGTGGTTATCATGTAGTTAGTTGTGGGGGTGGATCAGGGAGATAAGATGTTTCTAAGTGTAGTTTGAAAGTGATGAATGTGTCTGCAGTTCTAGAGTTTTCAGGTAGGGTGTTCCAGATTTTAGGTCCTTGAAATACATTGAATTTTTGTAAAGGTTTAGTCGAACCGGGGAATGTCATAGAGATGTTTGTGTCTGGTATATGCCTTGTAGACTTGTCACAACTATAAAGAAAGCATTTTAGGCGGGTTTAATATTGGGAATTTAAGGTCCTGTAGATATAGATTGCACAGTAGTAAGTGTGGATGTTCTAAACAGGGAGTAAGTTTAGATCTATGAAGAGTGGGGGGGGGGTTGCCAAGGATGGGATTTAGTGATTATTCTTACTGTGGTTTTTTTCTTGGGTTTTTAAATTGGCTTTGGTGTGTTGCTGCAGTTGAACCCCAAGCACAGATAGCATAGGTGATGTATGGATATATAAGTGAATGGTAAAAGTGGAGAAGTGCAGTTTGCGGCACGTAGATCGTATCTTGGAGAGATCCCCACCGTTTTGGATACTTCTTTTTGTTAGTGTTGGACATGGGTGCTGAAATTTAGGTTGTTGTCGAGGTATAGGCCAAGGAATTTGCCCTCAAATTTTGTCTGGCAATTAGAGTGTTGTCGATCTTAATGTTAAGTTGTGCAACACCTGCTCGCTACCAAACATAATTATAGCAGTTTTGTCAGTGTTAAAGTGTAAGTTTATTGGCTTCATCCAAGTCGATATATTTTAGGGAGCCCTCGTTAACAATGGCTTAGGGTGATAAGATTGTGGTGGGAGATAATTAAGTCGTGTCGTCAGCAAAGAGAATGGTTTCAGGGTTTGGGATATGTTGGAAGATCATTGATGTAAATGAAAGAGCAGGGTCCAAGGACACTTCCTGTGGAATCCAGTTTTCAAGTGGGCCGTTGATGAGCTGTGTTTAATGGTGAATACTGATACCTATTAGAAATGGTTTTGGATTTAAAATATGCAAGCGCATGGCTCTCTTAAAACCAGAGTGGCAAGTTTGTGGAGTAGGAAAGCCGTGGTCTCTGTGTCAAAAGCTTTTTCTTAGGTCAAAAAAATTCCGGCGGATATTCCTTATTTTAAATGCGTGTAAGCAGGTCTAGCATTTTTATAAAATTTCATCATTTGTGCTTTTATTTTTCCTAAACCAAATTGGCAGGGGTTTTTATATGTTTTGTGATGTTTAAATGAATACAGGTCTCCCGTGCACGATTTCTCGAAGATTTGGATAGCAATGGTAAGTTTGATATTGCCTATAGTTGTTTAACGTCTGTAGAGTCACCAAAATTAGTATTGGTGTAACCCTTGCCATCTTGAGTATTTCGGCAAGGTGCTAGTTTCAAGTGACTTGTTAAAAAGTAATGTAAAAGCATGCAAAGGACAGAATACAATGGTACAATGAATTAAAGATCATTTTTTTCCTCCAGCTCCTCCGAAGCGAGCCAAGTATGCAGCAAGCATTTCCCCTCCTCTCTCTCTCTCCTCTCTCTCTCTCTCTATATATATATATATATATATATATATATATATATATATATATATAAAATATATATATATATATATAATATAAAATATATATATATATATAAAAAATATATATATATATATATAATATATATATATATATATTAATATAAAATAAATATATATATATATATATAATATTACCTGGAGTTTACCTGGAGAGAGTTTCGGGGTCAACGCCCCCGCGGCCCGGCTGTGACCAGGCCCCCCCTGGTGGATCAGCGCCTGATCAACCAGGCTGTTGCTGCTGGGTGCACGCAAACCAACGTACGAGCCACAGCCCGGCTGATCAGGAACTGACTTTAGGTGCTTGTCCAGTGCCAGCTTGAAGACTGCCAGGGGTCTGTTGGTAATCCCCCTTATGTGTGCTGGGAGGCAGTTGAACAGTCTCGGGCCCCTGACACTTATTGTATGGTCTCTTAACGTGCTAGTGACACCCCTGCTTTTCATTGGGGGGATGGTGCATCGTCTGCCAAGTCTTTTGCTTTCGTATATGTCGTGCCGAATATGTAAAACTGGTCAATTAGCAAGAACTCATTTAAAATTAAGTCCTTTCTAAAATTTTCTCTTATAGGTTTATAGATATATTTTTTTCGTTAATGTTGATGTAAAAATTTATAATTTTGCACCAAAAGGAACTTAGAAAACTTTCCTAACCTTACTATAACAAGAACAATTTATTTTAACCTAGCCCAACTAAATATATTTTGATTTGTTTACAATAAATTTTAAAAAAAAAAAAACACCCGTGAAAAATATTTTTTACGTTAGGTTCAGAATGATTTTGGCGAAATTATTACTTACACAAATTTTCACTTGTCCTATATGGCAAGATGAGCGTTGCTATTTAAGCAAAGCTTCGCAAGTTCTGCCTATTCGGGCACGACATTATATAATATATATATATATAATTATATATAATATATTATAAATATATATAAAATATATGCAAGGAATTCGCAGAGATGCGAAATA